TATTAATACTATAATAAAAAAAAGGTAAAAGTGATATTTTAATATTTATTTTTTAAACATAATTTTTAATCGGTAAACTTTTCTTTTCATAACTTTTTCAAGGGAAAAAATTTTTTCCCAACGTTTTTTTATAGAACTTACTGACACTTTTATTATTATCTTTTCCTATATTAAGTCTTATAAAATTTCTTAATTTTTCATATATTGTTTATTAACACTTTTATTAAATACAAAAAAATGACTAAACAAGATTTCATTATAAAATTTATTAATTTTTCATATATTGTTTATTAACCTCTTATATAATACTTTTTAAATTATTTTCTTAATAAATTTTTTTTAGTAAAATTAGTTTATAACTAAACCGTATCTAGAGATTTTAATCCAAATTAACAGCAATTTAACTGGTGCTTTGCACGTCCGCTAAGATTCCGCTATTGAAGCACCGCATCGGTATCACTTTTTTGTCCTTGTAGATTAGATGGCATATCATTTGAAACTTATTTATAAAATTATTATAATTTTTTATAAACTTAAAATTTTTTATTTTTAATAAAAAATATTAAAAAAAAGTAATTTTTAAGTTGTACTGCATTTATTAAAATTATACTCACGAGCGGATGAATGAGTTAGCAAGAAACTCTTCTAATTTAATCAGAAGTCTTGGTTTCAAACCTTAAGAATACAGTTCCGTTAAAATTCGTTAAGTCCTACCCGACTCAAATTCGAATTAATCGGTGGCTTAATGAGTTTCCGGATACCGAGTAATCCATAAAAAAAAAAAAAAAACATTCACTAAAGTTATTTAAATACTTCTAATAAAAATATATATTTATTAAGAGTAATTTAATAACTTTAGTGTTAAAACTATATTTTTAATATAAAGTTCAAATTGAAACCTATGAAACTAAAAAAAATTACCACTATATATATATATTTTTTACTTTGCCCTGACCCACTATACCTGTATACCGTTTAATTAGCGCATAGTTTATTAAAAATTAGACATAGCTTTAAATTTATGGAATATGTTTAACTTACTTTAAACCTGGAATCAGTTTTAAAGCAGCCCATCACATTCGTGCACTTGTATGACTCAAAGTTAATTAGGGATTAATTTTTAATCAGTAAAATTCCCAATAAAGGGAGAACAATTTGGACTTCCTAAAAAAAACCATGCACATATTAAGAGTAATTAAATGTATTTTTTATTAATTATGAAAAATAAAAAATAACTTTAATATTAATGAACGTGTACAATTATGCTTAGGGTTGAGCATTGGTTACAAGTA